TGTGTGTGTGTGTGTGTGTGTGTGTCTGCCTGCCTGTTCCACTGATATTTCAAGAACCACACGTTGGTTTTTGATGAAACTTGATGCATAGATGCTCTTTGCTAATTTGCAGATTTGATTAGATTTTAATTTAAATCTATTGCATATTAATTACCTGAAATTTGCATAATTTGATCTTGGTTCATGAATGGACATATATTGTATTGTAACACTTTGACAAATTATATCACTTGGTGGCCATTTTGTTTTAGATAATGCAGTTCTAAAGACTCAATTCTGAAGATGTTTATCATGTGACATATCAACACTGCACTCCTATATGAACTTACATCAAAAATAAAATGGAATTGTTTCATGTACATCATGTCTTGTTTGTTTTTTAGGTTAGTGTACTGAGCCCATCATTACGTAATCATTATCTCAACATTACTCCTGCAAATGTGTTGCAAGTCTATTCTGCCACAGATTGTAATGCTAGTCTGGTGATGAGTCAGTCAGATATATCCCAACAGTTGAAAACTGATGCAAAACACAATGATACAGTCAATACATGTCAGAAGAATATTAACAGTGCAAATCATGTGCCAAGTTCATCGAGCATGCCCGATTCTTTACCTGGACCCAGGTCTGTATCTCCTTCCGGTGGTGTAACAAAGCTAACTTCTGTGCAGAAAATAAACACAAATAATAATGAAATTGATAAACATGGATGCACAAACGTAGTTCTTGCTGTTCCAGAGAAATGTGATAGTAAAGTAAATATGTCTTCATTTCAAGCAGGTGAGTGAATTGATGATTCTTTATATATTGTTTGAAAATCTGCATATGTAGAAACACATTTGAACATTCAAAGTAGTTATTTTATTACATTCAGTCATACATGCCTTCAAAATCCAATGTTCAGCATTGGATAGACTAGTGGGGGACCTAGTGGTCCACTACTTCTTATTCCAGTTCTAATATTTTCCAACATGAATGAATCCATTTCTTGATTGCCAAAAACATTACTTGAAGTAAAAATATTGATTGCCGATGAGGACCAGAAAATCTCCACCTGGTGTGGTAAAGGATTCTCTTCTGATTTCTTTTCGATTTGAAAATAATTTTCTGGAGAGGTTGAATTTCCACATGGTTTGACTGCCATTTTGTCGTTGTATTGTTTGAAGCTATAATCACTCTTATTACCGAATTTTAAGAATAATCAGGTAAAAAATAATACATTGTTTCCAATTCGGTGATCAGTTTGGTAAACGTTGAGATATTTGAGGTGAGGAGCCATGGGGTAGTACACAGAATTAGACTTGATTAAAGATTGGGTTCTACCATTTAATATTGCCACGCAAGGCAATACAATTTTTGCTTATTATCAGGTACCTCTTTTGCAGAGCCTTCAAAGTTGTGCAGCTGTTTTTTATTCAGACTACACACGGATGTAATCAAATCAAATATATTTTCTGTATTTAAAGTATTATAAACTTGTGGATCATATTGTTTTCACATTGTACATCTCAAATAGCAGACAAGTATTTGTTGCCAAGCTTCTTGATGAATGCCTAATCTTAAATTTTGAATTAATTTTTTATACGTCACCCATACTCTCAGCACATAAAAGTTCTTTTGAAGAATTTTCTAAGATATAAATTCTGTTATTAATAAGAAACTTGGACATGTGTTTCAGTAGTTGATGTCAGATAAAATGGTTGTCTGTTTTTTGGCAAATCCACTGTCTCAACTTCTCAAGGTTTGAACATATAGCTGCATCCCTGACAATGATTAGCCAATGGGTTAAACATTCTATTTTAAAGTTGTCTGAGCCTGCTAGTTGCTGGTCGACAAGTTTGTGGTCGACCCGAACAGGAAAGGCATACAATGTAGTACTGCACTATTAAAAACTAAAGTTGAAGAACCCCTTATTAAAGGATGTTTTTTGTTTCAGTTTGGAATTTTTCTTTTCTTGTTGCGTTATTGCTGTAACTGATGAAGAGTTTTGAATAATATATAAAATTTGTATAGTCCATGTTTGGTACAATGTAACAGCAGGGTTGGTTGACTGTACCCTCAAAGGTCAAAATCATGATAACCAGACAACGATTCATTCACTTTTTTCTGTGTCCAGTTCACACATGTACAGAGCAAACAGGTTCATTCACCGGTCATTGTAGACACACAAAATTCCCTCAAAGTTCACAGGGACACAGACTTTATAAATGTTATATTTAAATCAACACTTTCATCGATTATAGCATAATACATGTATCCTATTTTCAAGGATCCAATTTCATTAAGCAATAGATCCAGTACTGTTTCAGATCACTGCTACTCGCACTGACCTCTCGTTCTGTCCATTCCAACCAACCCACATACACACAGTAACGTAATAAAACGGAACCCCCTAGGTGACTAATTTTACTGGCTCCTGAGGGTGTTAAAATTTCAGGCAAAGGTTTCTTAAACAGCCCCCCCCCCCACACACACACACACACACTAGTCTGTCCAATGGTAAACAAAGTATAACTTCACTATTTAAAACTTCCAATCATGACTATTACCGGATTTGGTCAAAATGACTAAACCCACAATATCCACAAAACAGTATTTCCGGCTGAAATTAACAGGATAAACACAGTGTAACTGAATCCATGTATATGTGTCATGACTGATATACTGTGTTCCCATTCCAGTAATTCACTACTACCATTACTAGTGAATCAACACATTGGACAGAAAAAGATTATTCCATGATGAAGTATTGTATTACAAAACCCACACAAATTCACATATCTCATTTTCTTGTGAATAATCAGTGTGAATTTGAAACATGTGACAGGGTCCTTGTTACGTTTTTTATTCAAAGTTGCTAAAATATAAGAAAATGTAGTGAGTACCTAAACACAAATGATTATAAATGTTTCAATTTATTGACCAGTGCTACTGTCTAACATATTACTGTGAATAAACCAGCAACACAACCAGCATTATTGCAATATAATTCACTGTCTTGCAAACAAAATAAAATGTAGTTCTAATGTAACAGTTTGTAGTGGTAAGCTTCATGAGAATAATTTCCTACCAAAGAGTGTAAATTGTTGTCTATTGTCAAACATTTAGTGTACTAGTACCATATTTACTGACTGTTTACAAATGTACATGAACCAGACTGAGAATATATTCACTTTGAATTTATTATAGATAACCTGGATGCTTTACTGGAGGGAATAGAAGATGAATTATTTGCTGACTTTTGAATGAAATCCAATACATAAATCATTGCTTAATAATTGTATTTATGTTATGTCATTTGGTAATGTTGATGTTAGTAAGCACAATAATCAAAGCATTTTACAATGTGCATTCTTCATTTCTGGCTGTGTGTAAAAACAAACAAGTGATATTCACATAATATGAATTAGTTTTTGCAATTACTTATAACAGCGTCCGGATTACTTTCGGAAATTCCGTCGCTCTTCGGAAAGTTTTAATTTTCACAACTTTTGAATATTAATTCATACTTTTAGGTTAGTGAGGAGGTTATAATAATTTTTCATTTCACTTTACAACTGTTTTTTTCACC